ATTTAAATTGTGTCAAACGTCAGATATGAGTTTATAACATCCATGAGCTACTGGTCAAATTGAGTTGAGAATCATGAGATCTCGAAGATTTAAATTTTATAAAGGTAAAGACACTAGTTTTTTTTTTTTTATATGTTCAAACTTGATGGATCAAATTACATGTGCTAGTGAGAAATAACGTACTCGTGAAATGAGAACCATGACATCTTATGTTCAATTTTCAAGAAAGACAAAATTATTAGGGAATTGTGAATAGAATCACCTGATTTTTATGTTAGTGCCAGAGTACCACATGAAATTAGTTAAGCTGATCCGTATGACATGGTTATACTATATATATTAAAAAGAAGAAAATATAGCTATATAAAATAGAATAGGATTTGATAATTATATTTTTCATTTTACCCCTTTTGTGGAAATAGAGAGAGACAAGCTTAGTCGAAGCGCCACCATAATAGACTATAAAAAGAGACTGTTGAATGAAGCGCGAAAATGGCAGTTAGGATAATATTGGCGGAGAAGGAGGGTCAGATGAGTCAATAATTTGGAAACCCTAGTCCTATGTAGCTTCTAGAAACTCCATTTGCTAAAGTTAAAAATACTCACTCAGCTTCTTCCAAAAAATATTACTACTTTCTGCTCTCCTCAGAGGTGGGAACGAAACCTCTCGCTCTCTCTCAGGTATCATTTTTCACTCTCTATACACGTAGAAACACCTTGTCTGTGTGTAAATATTGCTTGTATGAATTTTGTTTACTTGTCAACTTTATCGGATCAGTAGATCAGTTGATCGTCATGTTCATCTAGCTTAGAATTTTGTTAGAAAAAGTTCATTGAACTTTGATTATTGATGTCTTAGTACGCAATTGTGATTTACTGTGTTTTTGTATGGTTGATGGATCATAGTTATCCCGTTTGGGATTGGCTGCTTATTGAGTGAGTTATATAGTTTGGTTCAGAACAGTTTGAGTTCATTTCTCATTTGTGGTTTTATACTTCTGATTTGAGTTAGAACTTGTAAAATGAAAATATATTTGTTTTTGTAGATGGTATTGGTAAATATCTTGGTTGTTTATGTATAATCTGCATGTTGAGGTGACGTCCTGGTGTTAAATTACTACATGTCTATCTATTAGGATAGAAGGTTAGTAGGTAGCATTGTGCTTTCTTGCTATTCGTTCATTATTAGTAGATGTAGTATTGCTTCTGTAGTATCTTGTCCTTCGATTGTTGTTACTGTATGTTGTTTCTTGTACCTTGATCAATTGTATTGTTTTGTTGTAGTTTCCGTTTTGTTACTATTTGGTGTTTCTTGTACTTACGTTACTTCTTTTTTTGGATTGTTTTTCTTGAGTTGAGTGTCTATCGGAAACAACCTATCTACTTGTGAGGTAGAGATAAGGTCTTCGTACAATCTACTCTCCCCAGATCCCATTTTGTAGGACTACGCTGGGTATGTTGTTATTGTTGTAGTCCCTTGTTTCTCCTATCCAAAGTATTTACCTGATTCCTTTGTTGATTTCTGTCAATACACAGTAATTGTCAAATAGCTATTTCTAAGTGTGTTCGTGTTGAATTGTTTGGTAAATATTCTATTGTGTTTGCTTAGATTTCCTATTTTGTCCCAATGTCTGTGAGGATGTGCTTTTATTGGTAGGGGTTTGACTGCTTAGTGATTGAATTTCTGTATTCCAGTTTTTGAACTGAAAACTCCACATTGTAGCTTAATTATTTGGTTCCTTGCTTATAGGAAGCTTCCCTACTCCACTTATTTGTACTTTTAAGAATACTTCAGTTACTATGTCTCTTCTTTGCAGATCACCGTGTTGATTTACAAACATGGGGGATGGTCCAGCTCCTCCTACTGCATTTCAGAAAATACATGGGCATTCACACCTGTTCACTCTAATATCTCCCCACACGCATTCTAAGTATGCTGGTTCATACAACATGACTGGTGGATATGTCAATGAAGTACTAGGGGGTGCTTGCATGACGAATTGCCAAGCCGCTAATCTGAAAGTTCGTCAATTAGGCGTTCCTATTCTCATACAGGCCCCATCTGAAGAGAAGAAAGCTAACAGTTTCGTCGTGGATTTTCTCATGGGAGGGGTTTCTGCTGCAGTGTCTAAGACAGCTGCAGCTCCAATAGAGAGAGTCAAGCTTTTGATTCAGAATCAGGATGAGATGATAAAGGCTGGTAGACTTTCTGAACCTTATAAAGGGATTTCAGACTGCTTTGGCAGAACTATCAAGGATGAAGGCGTCCTTGCTCTTTGGAGAGGCAATACTGCAAATGTCATCAGATATTTCCCCACTCAGGTTAACTGACCTTGCCTACTATTCAGTGTCTACAATTTAGTTTGCTAGTTAACTTTTTCATCACACTTAGGGAGCACTCCTCCTCTTTGTGATCCCTTTTTAGTCCAAGTCTGTTGTTATTTACCTACAAGGCTGTCTTTAAGATAATACTACAACAAAACATTGAACATGTGAACTGATTTTTCCATCATTACTTCTATCATTTGACTTTTATAGTTGTAATGACTTTGAGACCTCATGATCTCTCTAAGGATGTGCGTTGTTGGTTTGTATCTTAACTATCTTCGTGGTGGCTGGTAAACCTTATTGTGTCCACCAAGGGTAAGCCCTGGATGTGAATACATTTTGCAATCATTTCAAAAATGCTTTGATTTATTTGTTATAATGATTTTGCTGAAACTTTATGCATCTCTCCAGTGATATGCATTGCAATAAAATCTAAGAAGAGGATAACTTGAGAGTATTCAGTACATTTGAGTAGTTTATAAACAATTGCATGGCCATCACTACATCATCTTGTGTCCTTGGGGATCATTAGTTCCTGCAATTTTTTATTATTTAAATTTTTCTTTATATTGTTACACTTTATAAAGAAGAGGACTTGGAAAGTAGTGTAGGTACATTTGAGTAGTTAAATTTGTGGTCACTATTGCTGCATTTTTCGTTGTTCAGATTCATTAATTCCTGAATTTGTTTTTTGCAGGCCTTGAATTTCGCTTTTAAAGATTACTTTAAAAGACTGTTTAATTTCAAGAAAGACAGGGATGGCTACTGGAAGTGGTTTGCAGGAAACTTGGCATCTGGTGGTGCTGCTGGTGCCTCATCTCTTTTGTTTGTGTATTCTTTGGATTATGCAAGAACACGCCTTGCTAATGATAATAAGGCTTCAAAAAAGGGTGGTGAGAGGCAGTTTAATGGTTTGGTTGATGTTTATAGGAAAACTCTCAAATCAGATGGTATTGGTGGGCTTTACCGTGGATTCACCATCTCATGTGTGGGAATCATTGTTTACCGTGGTCTGTATTTTGGAATGTACGATTCACTTAAACCAGTACTTCTAGTTGGTGACATGCAGGTATCGGAAATCCTAATTCTGGTTCAATTTTCTCATTATTTTGTAAATTGATACTTTAAGCACTCTTATCCCATATGCTGGATTTTTTTGTCCTTCTGACATGCGTGCTGCACCCCACAACTTCACCAAATATTCTGTTGCTTCTCCTCCCTTTCGTCAATGATTTATTATGCATATGTAGAAGTTTATTGTTTGAGATATGATTACATGTTTTTCAAATTTTGGTGATTCAACACAGGCTGGTTATACTCTTGAATTAACCATTTCACTACATGCCTATGACTTATGTGTGATCAGTCCCTCATCTGTTGGGTCATACTCTCAACATTTAGAACTGAAGGATGGATTTGCCATCTCTATTTCTATAAACTTGAGTTTCCTTGTCCATTATGTGGCTGGTATAACACTACTGCAATATTCTGTTTTTTTTACAGGATAGTTTTTTTGCGAGTTTCTTGTTGGGATGGGGTATCACTATTGGTGCTGGTTTGGCTTCTTACCCAATTGATACAGTGCGTAGAAGAATGATGATGACTTCTGGAGAAGCAGTCAAGTACAAGGGTTCAATGGATGCATTTTCTCAGATTGTTAAGAATGAAGGCACTAAATCCCTCTTCAAAGGTGCTGGAGCAAACATTCTACGTGCTGTTGCTGGTGCAGGTGTTCTAGCCGGGTACGATAAGCTGCAGTTCATTATGTTTGGAAAGAAATATGGGTCAGGTGGCGGTGGCTAATCTAATATGATGATGAATGATGATGACGAAAGCTGTCCTTTGGTTGTGTAGATTTCCTTGGTTGTCCAGTGCTTTTGAATAATTTTCCCAAACTATGTCACACTGGTTGGCATTCTCTTGCAAGTTTATTCTGGAACAGTATTTTCTTGAAGTTTTTCTTGTTTCTATGGAGCTCTGAAACTGCTTCTAGTTATAGTTGTCTTTTATGCAGAAATTGTTATAAAGTTTGCTGAATGATAGTGCATACTGAGATTAAAGCAAGCAAAATGCCAAAAGATTATACAACTCGTATAATACGAGCATTGAGCCATAGGATCTAGGCTGTTCTAGGATAGATGTAATTCACCATTCAACTAGAGAATATAGTTGTACCAGTTAATGCTTTGATGAAAACTCCTCTAGCTGAGGGCTAACCCCAACACAAATTCTTGTCACCTTAAAACTTTGTTGAAACAAAGTCATTTGCTTTAACTTAAAGTTAAGATCCTGTCCTTATTCAATCCCACTTCAAACAACTGAGAAAGCTACCTGTAAGGAGGGAAGTCTATGTCATTCACATCCTCTTAACTCTAACTTTATCTGCAAATATCATGATCATTGTTAACGTTGAATTTGCACATCTTATTGATGGATCTAGAATCCAAGAAATTTCGTACGAACCATCTGATAAAGATCTGAGAACATTGTAAAAAAGACATCATTATGTTGGCTGCTATTTCTTAGAGTTGTTAGGTTGCTGTTATTTCAGTTGTGTGTAAAATGCACTGTGGATGCATTAGTCCTAACAGGAGGTAGTAGTTATATCATTAGCCAGAGGACCTTAAAAAGTAATTGAAAATGAAAGGATATCTCACCTTACAAAAACCAAGCAGAGGCTGTTGATTAATATGCTTGCATTACTAGTCATTAACAAAAATGGCTTCATTTTCCTTTCCCATTACCACTACTGCCTTTGTTATCTTGCTTCTAAGTCTTACCTCCAATGTGTTCAACAACTCAGCAGCCAAACACAGCCATTCCTCCTCCGTTAAGGGCATAAAAAACCCGAGGCTGCAAAAAGCCTACATTGCTCTCCAAGCTTGGAAACGTGTTATCTACTCTGATCCTAACAACTTCACTTCTACTTGGGTTGGCCCTTCAGTCTGCAACTACACTGGCATATATTGCGCGCCATTCCCTAATAACACCAAACTCCAAGTTGTTGCTGGCATTGATCTGAACCATGCTGATATAGCCGGTTTCCTACCTGAGGAACTCGGTCTTCTCAATGACTTAGCGTTGCTGCACCTAAACAGCAATCGCTTCTGTGGAATCCTCCCACTCTCTTTATCCAACCTCACTCTCTTGCATGAGCTTGATCTCAGTAACAACAGATTCGTAGGACCTTTTCCTAACGTTGTCCTCTCTCTGCCTTCCTTGAAATATCTTGATCTTCGCTACAATGAGTTTGAAGGCCCATTGCCTCCTCCACTCTTTAGCAAAGATCTCGATGCTATTTTCGTTAACAATAACCGTTTAACTAACGTGATCCCTTCAAATTTAGGATCAAGCTCTGCTTCTGTTGTGGTTTTTGCTAATAACTACTTTGGAGGATGCTTACCACCAAGCATAGCCAACTTTGCAAACACCTTAGAAGAGTTGCTCCTTACTAATACTGGCTTATCAGGGTGTTTGCCTCCTGAAGTGGGATTTTTGTACAAGCTAAAAGTTCTTGATGTGAGCAACAACAAGTTAGCAGGGACAATACCTTATACTATTGCTGGTTTAGCTCACTTGGAGCTACTAAATTTAGCACATAACATGTTTAGTGGAACTGTACCAGAGGGAATATGTGTATTACCTAAGCTCTCAAACTTCACATTCTCTTATAACTATTTCTGTGAGGAGCAAGGTATTTGCAGCAACTTGACATCAAAGGGCATAGTGTACGATGATCGTCGTAATTGTTTGCCAGAAAAGCCTCTTCAGAGAAGCAAGAAGGAATGTGATGCTGTGGATGAGCATCCCATTGACTGTTTAGCATTTCATTGTGGCACTTGATACTGTTTTCATGTGTTGGTTCTACTGAAAATGTGACAAATTAGTACTAGCATGAGTTTTCCTTTTAACTTTTTTTTCAAATTTAGTAGCCAATGTGAAAAAAGAATAAAGTCAATAGTAATTCTGTAAAATATGGTGTGTGATGAAGTTTTTCTTATGTTGGTTATTTAACTTTGATGCTGCTGCTATTATGTGTTGTCCCAAAACATGATTCTCATTCTTGAAAAATCTTAATCAAGTTGCTACCTACATAGTGAATTCTTCTGTAATTCCATATTTTTCTTGTACTGTATATTTCATTTAGATTTAATTCTTCTGTGGTTACTTGCATAGCAACTAGATGCAATTGTTTATAGCAAATGTGGATTTGTAACATGGAGAAGTTTCTTCCATGTTTGGTTGGAATAAAATCGCAAGATAACTGTACACACAACTGTCATCACTGCTATCTACCTGTAATTCAACTTTGCAAGGTGCTGATTATAAGACTACAATTCCCAACTTGCTTTCCCTCCAATATCTCAAAGAAAATGTAATGAAATACAAGAGAAAACAAGAATGTTATCATCTTGAATAAAAACTAGAATGACCATAATGTACATCACAAGAATTGCACACGGCAATCTGGTGTTTCTGCGTTAAAATTTTCATAAAGCCTACTTAAGATTTCTCAAGAATGCTCTGATCCACTTCGATACCAACCTGAGGGAAAATACAAAAGCCCAGTCACAACATATTTTTCGCTCTGGATCCAAGGGAAGAAGGAACCTTTCTATCTATAGAGGGAGAATAATCACAACAATATGCATTTTATAGCCTATTTGGCCAAGCTTCTAGATAGCCAAAAATGCTCATTTTAGAGAATTGAGGCGTTTGGCCAAAGGGAAAAGAAATACTTCTGAATAGTAGCAGAAGTTGTTTTCAAGAAGCTCAAAAAAAGTTGCTTTTCTCCGGAAGCACTTTTGGGACCTTCATCAAGCATAAATTGTTACTCTAATATTGTAAAAGTGATTTCAAATTGACTAGCTAAATACAAATTGCTACTCTACCCAAAAGTACTTTTCCTGAGAAAATATACTTTTAAAAATAAGCAAATTTTGGAAGCTTGACTAAACAGCCTTTTTTAGTCAGACAACTTGTTTAACTTTTCAATAACTCATGGACACACTGAACTTCCGCATAACTTATGTACGGCGCAAGTGTCCTTTTTTATCTTTCTTATGATGGTGGTTTTCGGACCAGCTTACATACATTGACTATTCCACTGGGTATCTACTCTTACCAACACAGGTATCAGGTATCGGGTAACTCTGTCCACCAAGGCTTGGTAGATGGAAGAAATCACCTAGTATCTTTTGTCTCTACTGGGATTTAAACCCTACGTAGTGTTTAAAACACATTCATGAACAGCCATTTACCTCATTTGACAGGTTGGTGATGTCAGTTGCTCTATATTAACAGGAATTCAAAAAAAAAACATCTGTTCAGGCTGGAGGAAGAGGACGTCGGCATGTTGGGCACTCCATCTTTATGTCCATCCATCTTTGCAAACAACCCGAATGAAAGAAATGATCACAGGGCGTCACCTGAACATCAGTTGGCACATTATAACCATATGGATTTTTCTTTCCATTAGTAAAATCAAATCATGTTTGATAGGAATTCCACATTATAGCGAGAAAAGAGTAATACAAGCTGCATTACCATGCAATTATTTGAACGTTGAGTGAGATCAATAGCAGTCATGCAAATGACACAGTCAGTAGCATGATTTCCTTTCTGGTCAAATCTTCTGTAATAACTATATTTTTCAGGTAAAATCTGCAACACATCATCAAAACTTACATAAGATAGGTCACTACAAAACTAATAGATGATTAAATGGTTCTTTATAAAGAGTATTTTTTTGTCTAAACCATCTACCTTGTATACTAAAATCCGAAAAGATAGGTCAGGGAAAACTTAATATGTGCAGTATATTTCTCACTTCTAATAACATAATCTATATCATCGAAAATCAAAAGAGTAGAATAAAACCTGTCGTGGAATGAACCACCGAGATCCAAGATAGTGCTGCAAAAGAAGAACTAATGCCTGCACTGCCATGAAAATTCCCAAACAGATGCACCAACTTTTGTCGGGCTCTATGCGCATAAAATTGTGAGGACAACCAAAGACATATAGTGGAATTGCTAGCCGAGTAACAGTCATTCCCAAAATGTAATGAGGATGCAACGGTTTTCTCGTGTCACGAATAACGTTAGTTACAATTTGAGGTATCCAAAAAGAGTGTAAAAGGAAAAGGAGTGGCCGCAGAAACCTATGGAATTCATACATGATTAAAATTCCACCTAAAAGGATCCCATCTGCAAAACAATGTTGGAAAACAAAGAGATATGAGCAGCTTGTCCATGACAATGATACTAATGTCTGACATGGATCAAGTTTGTCACGAGACAGAGGGAGAGAAAAGAACTAATGAAATTACTTTTGTGTTTCCTTACAAAATTTGCATGACTATATTCTCTTGAATTACTTCATAGTTCTTTGGCTCACTATGTCTAATGATGTTAGAATGACATAAAGAGAACGTCATAAAATCTCTTTTATCCTTGGGCCCTTGACACCCATCTGAACCAAACCAAGCACTATGTAGTATGTTGAACACGAAAATATTAATTTGTTGCTAAATTTTGCAATCTAAATACTGATTTTTATCTTAAAACCGTTATGTCAGATCAGAAATTACAAATTTTCTGAAGCCCAGTTGAGCACTGAATGAATTATTGAAAAATCAGAGGTTACATCCTCCTATGCTAGGTACAGAAATGGAATAGAATCAGGATGTGTTAATACATTAACTTATATCAAAGCAGGTGTGATTAGGTCAAAGAAAACTTTTACTGGAAAAACTCAAATGCATTATTTACTCTTCAACATCTAATTTCCCCTTTCCCTTTACTTGAACCATGGGTCTATCGGATTACACTAGGTATGTTGTTGCATCTAATATGCCCTTTCACTAGAGCCATACCCTGCAGCCAGACACGTTCAAGGTACAGACACATATAGCTGATGAGTCAGTTTAATTCTATGCACATGTTCACATTTCAGCAAGGGATACTTACAGAAGCGGCTGTACAGAACTGACAGTTCACGTCTCATTGCTTGCCAGCCCTCTCCACTAGTCATAGGTCTATTTGCCTTCCATATAGCGAGAAGATATCTCATCTCAAATATTGAGAAGACAACAAACTTGAAAAATGCAGCGGTTGCAAAAGCATTGAACAGCGATTCTGTAAAGAATGAGGGGGGAGGAGATTTTATTAACAGAGCGCAGAGCCGCTAGAAACAACAAAAATAGAATATTTTATACAGAGTCTGTTTTAGGGAAAATATACAAACTTCTAAGAGTTGGTTACGGGGAGGCAACACATGACATAGAAATGACTTGATAAAAAGTTACTAACCAATACCATGTTTATCCCTAGAGGGCTACCTCATTGTTACCACTATACAACTTTTAGATAATAAAACCAGCTAAATGTGCTGGCTACAATGACTTAGATAATAGCTACCATCAAACTTACCAACAAGTATGCCTGCAGTCAGATGTAGAAGACAAAGATAAGCATCAATTATTCCCTGTTGCCCGATCATCAAAATTGAAACTTTGGCAGCTCCCTGTAAAAACATTATCAGACATCATTCATTTGATTTGACACATTGCAACAGCAAGATAGAAACATGGGAAGACTTATGTCATTGAATGTAACAGAAAGTCGTATTCTTACTGATTGGGTATTGCTATGTTCCATTTGCCGAATGAGAAGGAGCACTTGAAGAAAAGAAACCTAGGTTTCAAGAAGTTAAGGAATCCACAGAAATGCAGTTCATAGAAGAAAATAACATCAATGAATAACAACTCTTAGAGGATACAAAAGTGACCATCAACGTGTAGTTAACTGCTTTGTTGTAGTAAACCTCTATATTGATAGAAGTGGCATTCAATAGCATGGGGGAGAAACAGTCTCCATCATCATCCACTGAAGGGCTCTCCATCAATCCTTCTAGATGATAATGATCTTGATCTCCATCTGGAAAAAGACAAGTAACTTAAGATAAATCACTTGTTTCCCAAGTATTTCCTCAAACTAAAGGATAAGTTTGAATTTCTATTGATACATGCTACTCATAAAATCTCCCACGGGTTTGGACCAACTGCATTTTGGCTCATGTACAGCTCTATACTAATTAAAGATCATGGGTAGAAAGCACAATGCATCAATATCTATTGTTTTGCATTATTAGGGCATACATGATCTAAGTTGCGCGGACTCTTCACTTTCGATGCCGTACCCGTGTCGGATTCTCCAAAATACATTACTTTTGGCAAATTCGACACGCACCCCTTGACATTCATGAAGAGTCCGAGCAACATAGTACACGATGCTCCAAGGAAATGCAACAAAGGCAAAGTTAGAGCTTCTGAAAGGATATGATAGGAAGGTCTCAACTAACGTCAATATGGAAGTTAAAACTACGTTAAAAACTAATAATATCCAATGTAAACATGAACCAGAGACAAACAGAATTAGAGGAAGTTAATAAGCAGTTATCATCAAATGATAGAAAGGAGCAGCATGAATGCAGAATCCAGAATCCAGAGTTTAGTTCAAAATGGCTTTACATAAAATAAGGGAGAAAACCGGGAAAAGAGATGAACAAGGTAAAGCAGAAAAATCAAGTACCATTAGTGGAAGATGACACTCGAGAAATTTGTGCTGCAATTTCAACATTACAATGTTTCTCCATCTCATAAATAGGTGCTGCAGGAACAAAGATACAAAGTTTAAGCCATGATTTAAAAAGCTAAATTGGATCAAGGTTGAGTAATCATTATTACAGTGTTTCCGTTTCCAAATCTTATCTCGTGGCGACTCTTGGAAGACCTGAGATGAGAAAGTTCCAAGCTGTGCAGGAAAGGTAAGATAAAGAAAGATATTATCATTTGATAAAAATTGACATTCAATATTTGATTAGAATTCTTTGAATAGAATGTAAATCAAAATTTGTTATCATAACTTATTACCTAGAATACAGATAATTCCTGAGCTAAAAAAACATCTCCTTTTTTAATTGAAGTCTATTTAACTAAATGGCTCAGTCTCTT